GTCTTGGGGAGCCTGTTGGGGCGTGCCGTCGTCGTCGTCGTTGTCGTCGTCGTCGTCGTCGTCGTAATGTCGTCGCCTCTGGGGGCGCGCCGTCGTCGTCGTCTTCGTCTTCGTCGTTTCGTCGTCTTCGTCGTCGTCGGTTCAAGAGGGTACTTGGGGCAACTTTGTGTGAAGCGATCCGCGGAGGGCCGCGAGATGGCGATCAGTCATGCTCCCAATCAACTTCCCAGACAACTCTCCGGCAGCGCGATTGTGCTCCGGAGCCTCCGGAGACTCTCGGGCCCATGATGCACCATGTCCCCTGGAAGCTTTCTGGGAACATGATGTGTTGGGGTGTGTTAGGGGGCCTCTTTTGCGTTCCCTGGGTGCCCCTTGGGGCCTCTTGGAGCTTCCTGGGGGCCTCTTGGGGGCCTCACGGGGCTTCGTGGCATATCGGTTCGCGGTCCTCCTTTGGGCACCCTCTTGGGGCGCTCTTGTGGCACTTTTGGGTCGTCTGGGGAGCCTCCTGGGCCGTCTTGGCCGTCTTGGGCCTTCTTCGGACCCTCGTGGGCCGTCTTGGAGCGATCTGAAGGGCCTCCGAGGCCGCTTAAATCACGCAGCGCCTACAAGCCGCAACAGCGACTCTCCCCCGAGGGGTTGGCGGTGCGGCGTAAGCCAAAAAATCTTCCCGCGCTGTCCAAATGCCAGTGCCAACATGGCTTCAGAACCCACGGGGAAAACACCAATCCTTCCTATGCCAACTGCACCTGGGCCTGCATGGGGGGGCAGCCCTTCGCTTCTCCATGCATGTTTCCTTCTGTTCCCTCCTCCCCCCCGAGCTCACAAGACGGCCAAGACAGGCAACCAAGGCCGCCAAGATGGCCAACGACGCCTCCGAAACGGCCCAAGATGACTCCAAGTCGGCCTAGGGTGGCCTCAAAACGGCCCACGACGCCCCCCAAAAGTCCCAAGCAAGCCGCAAGAGAGCCCCCAGTAAGACCCGAAGAGGCGAATGCGAAAGTCTTCGGCGTCTTCACCTGTTCGGGCTTCCTTCTGCTCCAGACGGCTCTAAAGGTATCCACTACTGTGGCCCCAAGACTGCCCCCAAATTGTCCAAGAATCCTCCAAGACGGCCTCAAGACAGCACAAGAAAGCCCCTACACGGCGCAGGGCGGCCTCTGAGAGCCCATCGACGGCCCAAATACGGCGTATCGACGACCGCAAGAGATCCCCCAACTCAGACAGTCAAGAGGGCCTCAAGACGGCTCCAGAGAGCTTCAAACCATTGCAAGAGGGCCCCAAGAGGACTGGCCCAAAAAGGCCCGAAAGTCCCCCACAATTGCCTCACGAAAGCCCCAGACGGCCCCCAAACCGCCCAAATGGGCTTCTGGGAAGCTCCTCAAGAAGAAATGACGCAAGGTGACACGTGTGACGGCTGTCCTGATCTTGCCTCGCCGCATCGTCACCGTCATCTTCATCGTCATTGTCATCGTCATCATCATCAGCATCAGCAGCAGAAGCAGCAGCAGCAGCAGCAGCGACATCCGAATCAGCATCAGCATCAGCATCAGCATCATCAGCATCATCATACTCATCACCACCATCACCATCACCATCGCTATCAACAACAGCATCATCATCATCATCGTCCTCGTCGTCATCCTCATCATCATTATCACCCTCATCATCGTCAGCAGCATCATCAGTATCGTCAGTATCATCACCAGCATCATCATCATCATAATCATCACGATCATCGTCGGCATCATCATTATCATGATCATCACCACCATCATGATCATCCTCCTCTTTCTCCTCCTCGTCCCCCTTCATCATCATCGTCATCATCATCATCAGCATCGTCACCATCGTCACCAACATCCTCAGCCTCGTCACCATCGTCATCATCATTCTCAGCGCCACCGCCATCATCATCATGACAGTCATAACCATCATCATCATCATCACCACCATCATGATCTTACCAATCCCACTCAGCAGCCAGTCCTCATCCTCATCATCCTAAGATCACCCTCATCATCATCATCATCATCATCATCATCATCAGCATCATCCTTATCATAGTTCATCCTCGTTTCTTCCTCCTCGTCCTCCCCCTCTTCATAAGCATCCTCATCCTCATCCACATCCTCCTCATTCTCACCATCATCACCACCACCATTATCATCATCACCATCAGCATCGTCATCATAATCATCACCATCGTACCCATCTTCATGATAGTCCCCCTCCTCTCATCATCGCCACCGCCATCTTCCCATTAACATCATCATCGTCATGATACCCCTCGGCGATGTTCTTTCATAATTTCCTTCGTCATTCTCACCAAAAGGCCAGTGTGGGCCCTCTTGGGGGGGCGGCTTGAAGGCATCTTAGAGGCCTCTCAGGGCGTCTTCGAGGCAGTTTGGGAGCCTCTTGGGATCCTCCCGGGGGCCTTTGGAGGCCTCTTGGGAGCCTCCTGGGGGCCTCTTGGGAGCCTCTCGGGGCCTCTCGGGGGGCATCCTGGGGCCTCCTGGGGACTCCTGGGAGCCTCTGGTCCCGAAAGCTCGGAATTTGAATATGGTTTTTCACCTCTGGGACCCCTGGGGGGCTCGTCCTGGGGCTCTCTTGGGCGGTCTTAGGGGCCTCTCGGGGCGTCTTGGGACCCTCTGGGGTCGTCTTGGAGCCCTCTTTGGAGCCTCTGGGGCAATCTTGGAGGCCTCTTGGGCCGTCTTGGACGCTGTGAAAACCAAAGAGGTATGAACATGTATATGTATATGTGTATGTACAGGTATTGGTATTTGTATAGATATACATAGATATATGTATAGGCATATGTGTATGTATGTTTATATATATATATATATATATATATATACATGTGTAGAAATAAGTATATGTTTATGCATATGTATTTGTATATGTTTACGTATATGTATATGTATACGTATAGGTGTACGTATCTGCAGATACATATGTATATGTTTACGCATTTGTATATGTATATGTTCATGTCTGTACACATGTATGTATACATATATATATATATGTGCATGTATATAGTTATGCATATGTATCTGTACTTGTACATGTAACTGTAAACATATATGTATATACATATGTTTGTGGACATGTATATGTATATGACTATTTATATGCATTTGTTTAGGTATATGTACATGTATATGTGTATGTATATGTATATGTATGTATATATATGTATATATGTATATGTATATGTATATGCATTTGTGTATGCGTTTGTACGTGTACATATATATATATATGTATGCACACAACTATATACACATATGTATATGTATATATATGTATATATATATATATATATATATATATATATATATGGTCGACCCCCCCCCAAGCACCCCCAGACCACCCAAAAACAAACGAAGCACCAACTGATCGTGTTCTCCTCCGTTTCCTCCTCCGTCTCCTCCTCGTTCTCCGTTCCTCCTCCTTCTCCTCCTCCTCTTCCTCCTCCTCCTCCTCCACCTCCTCCTCCTCCTCCTCTTCCTCCTCCTCACCCTCATCATAGAAACCCTGTAAAAACACATATAAGTATGATATGTTTGGTGGTTTTCTTAAGGAAACCCTGTAACAACACAGATAATTCTGATATATTTGGTGGTTTTCTTTAGGAAACCATGTAAAAACACACATACAACTGATATTTTAAGGTTTTCTGGAAATGGCGCCCCCCCTCCCCCTCCTCCCCGTCATCCTCCGCCCCCCTCAGGGACAGTGTGCCAGGCAGGAAACCCTGTGAAAGCACAGATAATTCTGATATTTTTGGTGGTTTTCTTAAGGAAACCATGTACACACAATGATAAAACTGATATTTTTGGTGGTTTTCTTAAGGAAACCATGTAAAAACACAGATACAACTGATATTTTAACGTTTTCTGGAGATGGCGCCATGGTCCCTGAGGGAGGCAGAGGAGGACGGGGAGGAGGGGGAGGGGGGGCGCCATCGCCAGAAAACCTTAAACTATCAGTTTTATCTGTGTTTTTACAGGGTTTCCCAAAGAAAACCACCAAACATATTAGTTTTATCTGTGTTTTTTTATATGGTTTTCTTAAGAAAACCACCAACAATATCAGAATTATCTGTGTTTTCACAAGGTTTCCTGCCTGGCACACTGTCCCTGAGGGAGGCGGAGGAAGACGGGGAGGGGGGGAGCAAGGAGGGGGTCAAGGTATGGCAGTACTCCGCAATGCGTCGGGGGGCCCTCTCCTGGGTCCCCTTTGCTGGGTCCCCTTGCTGGGTCCCTCTCCTGGGTCCCCTGCTGGGTCTTCTTCTGGGTCCCCTTGCTGGGTCCCTCTCCTGGGCCCCCTTGCTGGGCCCCCCTCCTGGGCCCCCCTGCTGGGTCCCCTCCTGGGTCCCCTCTTGGGCTCACTGCTGGGCCCCCTGTCATAACATAAACCTACACATGCGGAAACTAATACTTTTTTTCTACACTTCGCCTCTCGGGATTTCCTGCTGTTTTTTGTACATTTGAAACAGCATGCGCCCGCGGTTGGCCCCCCTCATGGCCCCCCTTTTTTTCCCCAGGGTCGTCGCCGCGGCTCTTCTCCTGTACGTAAACATATAAATGCAGAATCTAATACTTTTTTCTGCACTTTGTCATTCGAGCGTTTCTGTCGTTTCTCTCCAGTTGGCTTCGGCCCCATCCGAAACTGCGGCGAGCGAAAAACAAGACGCGCAATGCCCACCCTATGGCAATTTACAGTTTACAACCCTGCAGCGCCCGCTGGCGGCGGTAGTTGAAATCCGCCTGTCTCCACGCCTCAGCGGCGCGCACTTTATCGACCTCCTTCGCTGGGAAAACAATACGGAGGATGGAGGTAATCAAACAGACGAAAAAAAGAGGGGGGACATTGGGGCATCGGTGGTGTCCTCGTTTTTTTTCCTATCTGACATCCTTCCCGTCCTCCTCCTCCTCCTCCTACTCCTCCTCCTCTTCCTCCTTCTCCTGCCTGTTTTGGCCCCGCCGACTGTCCTTGTTCAGCCCCTCCAACTTGATGTTGTACTTTGCGGCCAAATTGGCCGCCTTGAAATGCTTCTGGTTGTTCTTCAAAAGAAACGCCTTTTTCAAGTCAGCGAACTTCGCGTCCTCCTGTTCAATTTCGTTCTGCGTGGGCGGGGTGAAGCGCACCTCCCCTGTGGCCTTGGAGCGCCCGACTGTTTTGTTGGTCTTGGTCGTGCACTGCTCCCACTCGCCCGCGCGGCTTTGCTGAATGATCTCCTCGTCGAGTGCCCTTTCCTTGGGCGTCTCCTGCAGTTGGTCCCCTGTCTTTTGCACCTCGGGCCCGTCCTTCTCCACCTCCTTGCTCTCCTCCTTCTTCTCCTCCTCTGTGTTCTCGTTCGTCTTGTCGTTCTGCTTCGTCTCCC